TTACAAGACTTTTCTGTTCAGTTTAACCCAGCTGCACATTACGGATGGGGCAATTATTATAAGACACCCTGTATAAATGTAAAATGTTAAATGCAAGTTTTTGTCTAACTATCATACAAAATTTTATGTGAGCATGATTAACCCAATTATTTGGAAGACTTAGTCTTTCTTTCCCACCATTAGTTATTCCATCAGAGCTCATACATAATAAGATTTAAATAAATCCTGCCTCTCCACAGATTGTTTAAACTATGGATGCCCTATAGAAGAATGATTGGAATCTTATTCCAAAAAGACTTGTTGACCTTTTTCTGTTATAGCTGTGGTAAGATTTTCCAAGTCATTGATTGTTCCCAATTTCTTTCCATTTGTGATGGCTTTGAAATCTTCAGTTGCTTCTGTAATGTAAAATAGAAAATGTTTATTAATACATATTTATATTGTGTGTAGAATATACATATTTATAAAATATTATTATATAAGACATACAAGACAAGCTGTTTTACACAGAGCAAACCAATAATATATATGTATGTATGTTTATTTTAAAAATTTATACATACCATTTATCTGTACCTTCCTTCATTAATAACGAGAGAGAGATAGCTTTGATATGTTGATCTTTCAAGTCATTTAATACAGACTCCAATCCTTTCAAATCATTGCTAGGAGAATCAATTGAGGCATCCAACTTAATAATTGGATTTTTCTCCCAAACTTTTTTCGGCTTGGGTGCTGAACATTTTAGTGCTATCACAACGATAGCTATAGCACCTGCCAACATGCTTGCCCACACTAGCCAAAAAAAAGATAAATAAGATTCATTTCAATCTCATCCAGAATGGATCATTGGCAAACTTCATCAATTCTTTCTTACTCATTTCTGCGAGCATTTCTTTGGTTGTTTCATATTAATCTTAACGTCACCATTCTCAAAGATAAATTTCACCTGTTAGAGGAAGCACAAAGTAACACTGATAATAAAAATCAAAAAAACTCAAACAAAGTAGAATAAAATAACATAATAACTCAGTCCTTTTAGAGAATGTCTATACTAATTTGTGGAGGTTAGTTTGATACTCTCAGCGTTCTCCACATTCGCAGGAAGGAATGGTCGTGATGGGCGCGTCGATTTATGAGACACCGTGTACAATAAATTAAGTTTATTGATTGCTATGTACAGAGTCGGATCTTCGTTATATTTTGGTGGCCCTGAAAAGGGCCGATTGTATAAAGAGGCTCTTAAAAGGGCTGTTTGTCGCCTGAGAAGGGCCGGGCTACCGGTGGTTGGCAGCTTCTCCCGGGTGACGCCGTTCTCGCCACTGAATGGTAGGTTGCGTCAAGGTGGCTCTCGGAGGCCCCCACTTGCCTCGCAGCGCTGGAGGAGTACCGGGTGGTGTGTAGTTCCTTTCCGGTGAATCGGGCAGCTCCACACTGGTTTGCGTCGCGACGGTGGAGGTAGGTGTTTCCCAATCGGACGAGTCGGACTGGGTGCCTTGCTCCGTCGTTGAGGGTGACTGGTACTGTGTACCCCTGTGGACCCTGGTCGGCGGGTTGGTCTAAGTAGACTGCACTCGAAGGTCTTGTTGACGCTAGTGAAGGCTGCATCAACGGCGGGATGTTCAAGGCGCACGTTGGAGATATGTAGCGTCAGATCCGGATATCCCACGTCGTGAGAAGTTCGCGGGAAGGCCGCGTACGTCGGACGGGCGAGAAGTCCAGAGGAGTTAAACGCCACTCCCGTAAGCTCCAGCTTACTCGACGCTCCCATTGACGTAGAGGCGCGATGTCCTTTCGAACTCCTGGCCGCTGCTTAGGTCCCGGTGATGTGGGAGGCGGCAGGTGAGATCCTGTTGCTTGGCGCTCGAAGAATTCGCCAAACCTGTGGCACAAGAAACCAACAGACCCGAATTCCGTTAGGCGTCGCGTACTTCTATCTGTCTAGCGGAGAAGTCTTCTTTTACAGCAGAAGCCGCGACTAATAATCCGGATCGATGTGCGGTCTTATATAGGGTCACTCATCGGATTTCACTCACTGGTTGTGCTCGCGGCGGGCGCCGCGTCGCGGCTGGTTTCCGCGTCTTCCGGGTACTAGTACGTGCTTAATTCGCCGTGCGTAATGGCGGTCTTAAGCTTACGCGCTTTACGCGTGGAATGGCGTAGGCTTGCTCTCGCCGGACGCGCGGTCGCTGCCCGTACATGCCAGCTCTTGCCGCTTTTGTGGTGGCTGTCCGCCACAAATGATTTATATTTTTTATATTAGTACATTCTCATAAGTATTTCTTTATAAAATATACATATTATATAAGTTGACAATTATTGATTATAAAACATATACAGTGCCTACCAAAAGTTCCGGGCCACCTAAATAATTTTTGAATGGTTTGAAATATAGGATTGAAATTTATAGGGATACAATGGGATCACAAAGTTTATTATTTAACCACATAAACACCCACCTCTACACCCACGGGGGACGGGGGAGGGGGGAGCCACAAAATCTTAAATGGCATGTGGAGTTGAGTGAGGGCTCGTTCGGCTTTCCGAGACGAAAACAACGCGAGGTCCCCGAGGTCTCTAAAATTTTTTTTCGCAGAGTTATGATCATTTGAACATTTCTATTGAGATTTAGCGAGAGCCCATGGCGACAACAGAAGAAAGATAAGGCTTCAAGCGGGCACGCGCGTTCCTAAGTGTGTGTGTATGTCATAACAGAGATAAGAACCCCGCGGTTCGTCACTTCCGCCGTATTTAATGACTCCAAATCCTCTCTGTTGTGTGTGTGTGTGTGTGCGCGCGCGCGCGTGTGTGTGTGAGTGTGCGTGTGTGCGTGCGTGCATGCGTGCGTGCGTGTCCCGCCAACCAAGGCAAGATCGCTAGCGTGTCCTGCCAACTAAGGCAAGACCGGGATGGGAACACTGGTGTATGTGAAAGAATAAAAACACTAATTATTTTATCAAATGTTCGAATTGATGTCCTTTGACAACTTGGCAGTGTCCTAAGCAAATGTAAAACGTATCGATAACGTTAGTTAAAAAATTGGGTGTGATTGAATTTAAAACGTTCACTATTTTTTCCCGCAGCTCTTCTAAATTTTCGGACTTAGTCTCATAGACCTTTGTTTTCAAATACCCCCAGTAAAAGAAGTCTAATGGGGTCAGATCTGGTGATCTCGGTGGCCATTCTATTGTGCCTCTTCTACCAATCCATCGATCAGTAAAAACATCGTTGAGAATATTTCGAGCTTCCAGAGAAAAATGAGCCGAAGCCTCATCCTGCTAAAATGCATTTTCTGACAATAGAAATGTACTAAAAGTTGTATGGTTTGAACTCAAATGTCAATGCCCGTATGCCGGCGACCTATGATATGCAGTAGTTGATGTTTCCTCAGAGAGTTCTCACTTGTAAACTCATTATTTCACGCGGTCGCTTGTGAATTTTCGAGAGCGTTTGTCTAATATCTTTTTTGCTTTAGTATTTTTCATTTTAATACGTTTTTGAAAATGCATTTAATTGATACGGAAAAGATCACTGTATTGATGATGAGAGGATTTATTCAATGCCACATATCCTGACCGTGAACCAATTTCAAAGTCAACTGTTGAAAGAACTGTTGGTCGTTTCCAAAGAACCGGTGTAATTAAAGGTGCGCCTAGATTGATCTGTTTTTCTGACGAAGCAACATTTGAATTAAACGGTTCTGTAAATCGACAGAATATGAGGTATTGGACAGATGAAAATCCGCATTGGATGAAAGACAGTCACACGCAGTATCCTCAGAAGGTTAACGTTTGGGTCGGAATAATGTTTAATCGTATTATGGCTCATTTTTCTCTGGAAGCTCGAAATATTCTCAACGATGTTTTTACTGATCGATGGATTGATAGAAGAGGCACAATAGAATGACCACCGAGATCACCAGATCTGACCCCATTAGACTTCTTTTACTGGGGGTATTTGAAAACAAAGGTCTATGAGACTAGGTCCGAAAATTTAAAAGAGCTGCTGGAAAAAATAGTGAACATTCCAAATTCAATCACACTCAATTTTTAAACTAACGTTATCGATACGTTTTACATTTGCTTAGGACACTGCCAAGTTGTCGAAGGACATCAATTTGAACATTTGATAAAATAATTAGTGTTTTTATTCCTTCACATACACCAGTGTTCTCATCCCGGTCTTGCCTTAGTTGGCAGGACAAGCTAGCGGTCTTGTCTTGGTTGGCCGGACACGCACGCAAGCACGCACGCACGCACGCAAGCACGCACGCACGCACGCACGCACGCACGCACGCACGCACGCACGCACACACATACACACGCACACACACACGCACACACACACGCGCGCGCGCACACACACACGCACACGCACACACACACAACAGAGAGGATTTGGAGTCATTAAATACGGCGGAAGTGACGAACTGCGGGGTTCTTATCTCTATTATGACACACACACACATTCAAGAACGCGCGTGCCCGCGTGAGGCCTTATCTTTCTTCTGTTGTCGCCGTGGGTCCTCGCTATCGCAAAATCTCAATAGAAATGTTCAAATGATCATAATTCTGCGAAAAAAATCGTAGAGACCTCGGCGACCTCGCGTTGTTTATGTCTTGGAAAGCCCTTTCGAACGAGCCCTCATTCAACTCCACATGCCATTTAAGATTTTTTGGCTCCCCCTCCCCCCGTCCCCCGCGGGTGTACAGGTGAGTGTTTTTGTGGTTAAATAATAGACTTTGTGATCCCATTGTATCCCTATAAATTTCAATCCTATATTTCAAACCATTCAAAAATTATTTAGGTGGCACGGAACTTTTGGTAGGTACTGTATAATTATACACATAATGTACTAATATATCTGTAAATATAATGGAAAAAAAATATAAAAAGACGTTTATGTAAACATATATAGATTTTATATATTTTATATTCATAACTATTTATTTTAATGACAGATCTGCACTATACTTTATATTTAAAAGTAGGAGAACATTGGGTAAAACCGGGTAGGCGGGTCAAACCGGGTAATCATGTTTTTTGTAATAAATGCTGCTATCTATGGCTAATTTGTGTTATTAGTTGTAGATTGACGTCATTATTATTTTAAGACAAACCGTACCCCTGTGTACACGATATATCTTTTTTAAAAGAAGTTCAAAGATTTTAGCCCCAAAAAGATAGATATCGAGGCAAGAATCGAGTCGTCGTGCACTTTTTCTATATAGAGCATCTGTTTCGGTAAGTGCAGCATTGCATTCTGTACATATTAGAGAGTATATCATATTAGTTTTGATCGGCACTTTGTACGCCGGAATATACAACCGTCGTATTTGTAACTTTCCTTGTGTTGGGGCAAAACTGGGTACTTACATATCTCATATAACGAAAAGAGGAAGAACTGTTATCCTGACTTTGTGTCTCTACAAAAAGCAGTTAGAAACGAAAACTAACATTCGCAAAAAGAAACGACTAAAAAAAAGCTTTTTGAGATCTTTAAAGTTAAAAAGTTAAATAAGAAAGTCCTGCAGCAATGTCGAACAAGAGGATATCTTTATTTGTGATTTTTGTCAATAGAATACATCTTTATACTGATTTTGATTAAAATAAATCTAGATTTTGTAATTATACGGTGTTTTGCATATTTTCAAATGGGTATCCGGTTTGACCCTACCAGTAGGACAAAACTGGGTACTTTGACTTCTCTACAAAATCTTGTTATTATTGGTAAACAAAAATTTTTTTTTCAGCAATTAGCCTTATTTTCTCATAGTTTAAGGTTCACTAAAGACTACTAATGGTCGGCAAAATTTTTTTTACTCTTAGATTTTTTGTAGGAAGACAAATCCAAAAAGGTATCCGGTTTTACTCTACTTTCCCCTATATATTTTTTTATGATCTGCACATCAGATTCATAGTGCAATATAAATAGTCCCAATCGGTGTAATTACTGTTGTCTCGTCACATCTTTCCACATTTAATTGCATATCATCACATTTCAGTCATCGTTCTGAAGGTTTTCGACAGTAGCCAATAAAGTGACCAGGAATGTATTCGATGACACCTATCAAGCTGAAAATGATAAACAAGTTTTCATATATGTAATAAACAAATGAAACGATACATATTAAACGATATCTATGTATATTATTAAACATACCGGTACTGTTTTCCAAAATTCAGTGTAACTGGAACACCTGTTAACTGGCATTTGAAGCCATGTGTTTTCTTGCGATGTGTCCTCGCATCCAAATTAATAAAGATGTGGAAATGTGAACGAATCGTTTCAATGACTGTTCCTGGGCAATTTTTTTGTCGGCACTTAACATTGTAATAATGTTCATTGAATAAGACGGTATCTTGCAATGCTTGAATACCTTTAGTATTAATCGTTCTGGCATTTAATTCAAAATATGCAACATTCGTTGGTAATGACGTCCCTGCCGAAAATGTTCGATTAAAACTGATTTAAAAAAAGTAATCCAAATCGATTACTTTTTAATCCGGGCGCAGATTAAAACTGATTAAAACCGATTAAAACCGATTAAAACGGATTATGTTTTAATCGAACATTTTCGGCAGAGGTTATACATTCCGGATTATTACATTCAAACGATCTAATTGCACATGGCTCAGTCGGTTTGGAACAACAAAAGAGATACTTCCATATCGCAGTAATCGAGTCTTCTGCAATCAACTTGTGCGGTTTGATAGATGGAGCTTCAGGATCTTTTACAATCGGATAAAATTCATCTAAAAGGACAATGCGTTCACGAAGTATTTCCATAGTTGAACACATCTTCATAAATTTGGATACAAATTTTAATGCGTGATTATTCTGTATAGAAAAATGATATAGAGAATCATAAAGTGCACCAAATTTCAATATATGGATGATGGCATCAAACCTACAAGTTTTTTGTCGTAAAGGTATATCCAGACAAATTTGCAAGAAAATTAATTGGTCCATATATGTATGCATAAAGTAATGAACCAATCCAGTACGATTGACCAATCAGAGAGTCCTAGTGTGCAACTGGCCAATTAGCAATGTGGGCTATATTGGATCTCGTCCATCTAGCTTTACATATCTGACCTTATGTCTCCGGTTCCGGATTATTATCTGAGAGGAAATTAATTATTATAAAATAAACTATTATCTCCCAAACGTTGAAAACATTACAGACGTGTTTCCCAAATGATTTCACGTTGATTAAAATAAAAAAAGAATTTTTAAAAAATTATATCTGCTAACTATACGCTCAATTAATTTTTGTTTATTATAAATAAATTATTATTTCCTAAACTATGAGAATATATTCCTAAATTTGTCCAAACGATTCCCAAACGATCGCAATAATAAAAAATAAGAAATATCAAATTTGTCTGCTAAGTATACGGAGGTGCAATCGGCAACGGAGAAAAGGAAATAAGAATTTGATCAATACACGTAAAAACTAACACAAAATTATTTTTCTACATAGCATCCACTAATGTTTATATATTTTTGCCACCGCACTGGCAGTTTTTTTATCCGTGCTTCATAAAAAGTAGTAGGACGAGTACGAAGTCAATTGCGCACGAAGTTTTCCACTTCATCGTCATTAGAAAACTTTACTCCCGTTAAGGCTTTTTTAAGAGATCCAAACAAATCCATCATATGTGAGAATGCACATCAAAAATGCGTCTCCTTCTATTGCATGGTGATCCAAAAGACTTTGAGAGATTTCGGCCTTTATGGCTTTCTGATCTGCATTCGAAATTCGAGGCACCCATCGTGCAGTGATTTTTCGAAATCGTAACTCATTCTCAATGATTGTTTGCACACTTCTATAAATATCCCTTAGGAGATGCCAACTCCTAGAGGATGCGTCCCTCAAGTGGCGGATGAGGGAATGCTCACACCGTCTTAACAGTCAGGAGAGTAGATGCGAAATTAAATAGTATCCGCGGACTAAATGGCAACCAGAATACTATGCATGGATGATAATAAAGGAAATGACCTTATGGTGCAGGGACTCGGAACCCCAGTACCCGTCGGTGAGGAAAGTGGGCGAGCGGGCTCTCCCCGACGGTCAGCAAACGATTACTCAGCGTCCCCAGTGGGAAACCAAGCTGGCGAACGCGGTAAAGCAACTGGTCTATCAGACCCTGAGTGGAAAGACTCTCACGGAAGCAGAGTGGATAGCAAATCTAATAAACCGACTACTGCAATCAACAAATCCGACAATGACAACAAACATAAAATGGTTCAAACTATCCTATTCAAGAATCTACAAGTATTAAGACCCAGATCTAACTCATGCAGCGAATCTTCTCAAACCAATAGTGTCTTAGAAACATTGAGAGTAGAAAATTTAACCCATCCCGACGCCGTAACAAGGAAGGCGAACTCCACTCCTGAATGGCAAACAAGCTCTCGCAAAAGAAACAGAACCAGTCCAGACGACTCCTCTCGTAAACAAGCTAAAACAGGGTACTGGCTAAATCCCGTTCAGCATGAGCCAACCATTCCTATTCAAAATCCATTCGAAACATTGCAACATGATGATCTTGTAAATCAAGGAAACGAAGGAAATATTAAAGCTCCAAAGTCTCCACCTATATTTGTGGTAGGAGTAGGGAATATAAATCCCCTAACTGCGCTTTTAAACTCTATAGCAAACAATAACTATCAACTTAAAATACTAAACGACGACCACGTTAAAATACAAGCTCTAACATCTGCTTCTTTCTCAGCTAGTAAGACACTTAGAGGAAAAAAACACAGAGTTTCATGCCTATAAACCGAAGTCAGAGAGGAACTTCAGAGTGGTAGTCAAAAATCTGCACTATTCAACAAACAACAAAGAAATAGAAGAAGGAATTGACAGCCACGGGCATCATGTGGTTATTGTCTGGAACATAAAAAACAGATTCAAAAAACCGCTACAAATGTTTATGGTAGATCTAAAACCTGCCCCCAATAACAGTGACATCTATAAGATAAATTTCCTTCTTCAGTGTGGAGTAAAAATTGAGGCTGCTAGCCATAAAAGGCAAATTCCCCAATGTACAAATTATCAAAGGTACGGACACACCAAGTTTTATTGCCATCGCAGCTCTAAATGTGTTAAATGTGCGGACACCCACCACACTAGTAATTGCGCTAGAAAAGATAAATCCAAGGATGTGAAATGTGTTCTTTGTGAGAGAAATCACCCCGCAAATTACAAAGGTTGCACCGTATATAAAGATCTTCAAAAATATCACTTTCCTAGTATCCGAAAGAAAACATTGCCAACCAAACCACATGCTGTAGCCTCACTCAGTAACCCCACTATTCAGGATAAGATTCCCTACTCCCAAGCGGCTCGAACCAGCAATTCCAACCTGCAGGCTACCGCGAACCCAAGTTACACTGAGAACTCAGTAAACAACAATTCTGATATAGAAACCTAAAAAGTATGATGAAGGATTTGATGGACAAAATGGGAACAATGCTCAACCTGTTATCCGCCCTTGTAACTAAGATCCCACAATGGCCACCAAATTCAAAATAGTAATTTGGAACGCCAATGGGCTGCCAAACCACAGCCTTGAACTGAAAACATTCCTCTCAACACACAACATAGATATAGCACTTATATCAGAAACTCATCTCACTGCAAGATGTCATATCAACATCCACTGGAGAGCCTACCTACTGGTCAACAAATAGATGCAAAACACCAGACGTGATAAATTTCGCTATAGTAAGGAGGATCCCAAGGACTAAAATCCTGGCAGAATCTTGCATCTAGCTATCATCTGATCACTCTCCCATAATATTGTTTATTGCTAACAAGATTTTATCCAAAGAAAGGGAATATGTCCTGCACAATAGAGCAACAGACTGGGACAAATACAAAAATATAGTAACATCTTCAATCAAGACAGACATTAGACTTAAGTCAGATGAAGATGTAATTGCAGCGGTTGAACACTTCAACAACTGGATCCAAAACGCCGCTTGGAACACCACCCCAGCTCCTTCTTCTTTCACCTCCAATCAAATAAACGCTGATATTCCACTATCCATCAGGGATTTAATCGCCAAGAAAAGGAAAATTAGAAAGCAATGGCAAATCTCCAGATCGCCAGAAATAAAAAACAAGCTCAACAGAGCCGTCAAACTCTTAAAAAAAGAACTTTAGGAAAATAGAGAGAACTGCGTGCAAAAATACCTATCTAACCTTGATGGAAGCCCAGCCTCAGACTATTCCTTATGGAAAGCTACAAAAAAACTTAAGAAACCCCAACTCACTAATCCTCCAATCAGAACAGCTAAAGACTGCTGGGCTAGAAGCAACAGTGAAAAAGCCGAGGCATTTGCATGCCATGTGGAAGAAGTTTTCACGGAAAACCAAAGAATTATAACGGAAGAACAGGACCTTTATATCAGGAAGGTGCTTGCAGCCATTCCCCGAAACGAACCCCTAATAGAACCCTTTACCAAGAGTCTTATCAAAAATCTAGTGACCAAAAATTTAAATTTCAAGAAAGCCTCTGGATATGATTTAAAAGAATTACAGGGACGCAACGACAAAACGTTAAAATGGCAGCCCAAATTTTTTCAAATAAAAATGCGTTAGCTATCAAATGGTGTGGAGAAAATGGACTTTTAGTTCCTAAACAATGAAAACACACCTATGAAATGTTGAAACTATTCAATGATTGGTTTGATATTTTTAATAGCAAACAAATATGGAAAATGCAGTGAATCATATGCTTATGGCATAAATATAGAACAACAAAATAAAATTATTAATAACATGAGTGAATTCATTGAGAAAATGCGAGTTGGCAAAAAAACAAGTTTAATGCAATTCCAGAAGGGAATTTTATTATGCAATAGATCATTGCTAGAAATGTTTGCACATATTACATATAAATTTAAGAAGCCTACATTTATGGAATCACGGATTACATAGTACATATATAACAATTTATTCGGAATAACTCCCTTTCAGTCATGAAATACTAAAACTCGATAATTTCCAAATTAACTACCAGACTTGAAACAAATTTAACAAGTAATTCCATAAATTAATATTCATAAGTATTAATATAGCTTTTTCATATTATCCTATAGCTTTTTCATATTATACTACAGATCTAATATTGTAAAACTATCCGAGATGAAAGGAAAGCGTATAGAAGATGTATCCGAGACACCTGATACGGCGAGCGATAAATAACAGATGTATAGATCCGCGGCAGCTCTGTGTGATCCGCGACATAGACGCCGAGACAAAACAATCGATAAAGATATTTACCACTAATCGATAGGCAACTCTTAGAAATAGTTTCATCATAGATTTCCGTAGAAGACCTTCATCTTAATGAATTTCTAGAACACAAACTAAATTCCCAGAACGATCTGCACACGGCCCGCAACACTTTTGATTCTCAATGGTATATAAGCTGCAGATTTTTACCCTCAGCAGCAGTTCAGCAGATCATCTCAATTCGTAACCGTGTTTCTATCATTTTTGTTAAGAAATTTAATTTGTGTGCAAGGATAACTGTAAATTGGATTAGTTGTATTGACTTAAACTGCGCGCTATTAAAAGAACTGCCGTAGAAATGTGAACGACAGGTGGCGAAAGTGAAAAGACTCGTCAATAAATATATTAAAATCTAACAATTTTCATTATACTGTCAGTCTCGCGTTAGATTCATATCAAGTTGTATAAAGTCCGGAATAAAAGACTTTAAGCATATACCTGCGTAGATCAATCAAACTTATCTCACGACCGAGGTCCTTGCAGACGAGAAAGACAGGCTTAAAACGAGTACAAAGGCCATTGAGCTAAAGAAGGATTCCTTGCTGCAATACGGTAAGTACCTGCCGTTATTAACACCCCTTATATTGTATTATCAAACAAAGGAAGTTCTATTTCAGAATCTACAATTGACTGACAGCCCATTAACTTTATTCCAAATTATTATCTCAATTCCTATTCCATCGTTGTCCAGCACAAGAATGCTTTAACGACATTCTTACATCCTTTTAAGAATAAAAGAAACCACTCCCAGACAGCACAAAACATCCTCAGGATCATCCTAAATATGTCCAGGATGGAATATAATTTAGAACTCTTAAGTATTATAATAAATATTAATGTCCTATAAATGTCCACTGGATGCCTGTAGGAAATCTGCTCTGTCTATTATATCGGATGTCCTTTGGATTTCCAGATTTAATTGTTAACATTAATTTCGTTTAATATTAATAATTGAATTTGATGCGCACATTTTCATATATCCAAAATTATTATTTATTTAATATTTTATGAGAAATGTTACTGTGCAAGAAACATTTTTTCTATAACACAATTTCTCACATGATACGCAAATATGCCGTGGTGTATCTGCTGAACGTTTCATCAAAGCCTTAAAGGCTTCACGATATTTAGAAATAATATCATCATCACTCAAAAATATATCTATCTGTTGATGTTTATACATATCTGCTTTTCCTTGTGCAGAACTTACAATTTCATTTAACATGTTCAAATCAGCATGAGTTAATGCCTTATCAAAACCTTTATTAAATGCGAACGCATTAATCTATGATTATATTTTACTTTCTCGGGTTTAATATTAAATAACAATGAAATTGCAAAGGCTATTGCGAAAACACCACAATCGTTACCGTTTGGTTGATGTTGTACAGTTGGAAACTTGATAGAGTACTTTTCAAATTTATATGTTGGGAACAATTTTTTCAAAAATTCTTCATGATGCTTATGTAATTTTTTGGAATTTAACGAATCATAAATAAATATATTCTTTGTGTTATAATAACTGCATACCCAATGTCCATCATATAAACTTGACGAACTATGCAATATTTGTATATGTTTTTTATCTTCTGGCATAGCCTGAATCGTATTAGGACATTGTATTCGCCATGTTTCAACAGGTCTATAATCTGAACAATTTTGTAAAAGTTGGTTGAAATGTTCCATGTGCATATCAGTTAACCATTCGCCTCGAATAATTATATCTTTGTCTCTAAGCGACAGAATTATATGTTTATTTACAGACATTCTGTAGTATATATATACTTGGCGCGAGACACTACCGTGTCTCTTGATATATATATATATATATATATAGTATATATATCATTTTGAAAATTATGTGAATAAAATTGCGGATGCAAAATTTTTTAGGATCGATGTTAATTTTTTTTCCATCGCTTTTTCTTTCTTTGAAAGGATTACTTTTTAATTCTATGAAAGATAAACCCATTTTGATACAAAAGATTTATCAACAAAATAAATATATTTCATTAAAGTTTATATAAACTGGCTCAATTTGTATTGTTTGATCAAATTAAATTAGTTGACAAAGGTGTAAATTTTAATAAAATATATATATATATATATATATATATATATATATATATATATAATTGTGTTATGTTATACAACAGCTCTTTATAAGCGCACAGCAGCTCTATATTGGCGCACAGCAAACGTTTTTGTAGGCGCACAGCAGCTCTAAATCGGCGCACAGCAATCGTTTTTATAGGCGCACAGCAACCGTTTTTGTAGGCGCACAGCAACCGTTTTTGTAGGCGCACAGCAGCTCTGTGTCGGCTCACAGCAACCGTTTTTGTAGGCGCACAGCAACCGTTTTTGTAGGCGCACAGCAGCTCTGTGTCGGCGCACAGCAACCGTTTTTGTAGGCGCACAGCAGCTCTGTATCGGCGCACAGCAACCGTTTTTGTAGGCGCACAGCAGCTCTGTATCGGCGCACAGCAACCGTTTCTTGTAGGCGCACAGCAGCCTTATGAAATTTTTAAAATTAAAATTATTTCACTTACCTTATTAATTATCGCTTACCCAGCCGAATAGCCACTAATCAATCTTCGAATTTAGTCTTGGATAATCCTATGCAAAAACTTATTTTAAAGGGAAAAGTATATTTGAAAATAAAATATTTAAAATGTATATTTTTTAAAATTGTGAATATATATTTTTAAATAAATAATTTTCTGAAGTTATTTTGAGCTACATAAAATAATTCTTGGATATATACAGAGTATCTTAAAGCATTCTAAACAATGCTCGTGAGGAGGCAGAACGGATCGAAATGAACAAAAAAGTCCCATACCATTTTGCGATTTTCGTAATAATTATTGAGAAACGCAATAAAAAGGGATAACCCATTGATATGTGGTTGCTAGGACGGTAGAATCCATTGCTATGTACCACTCGTACATAACCGTTGTCATTTGTACAGTGTTCCTTTCAAAATTTCGTCGCGCGCCTAGCGATCGCAAATTTTTGGGTTGTCTCTGGGCTCTTTTCTCGGCACGCGCTTATACTCACGCGAATTGGTCGATCTTTTTTAATTAATTTCTTAATAATATTACAAAAATTGCAAAATGGTATAGGACTTTTTTGTTCATCTTGATCCGTTCTGCCTCCTCACGAACGTTGTTTAAGATGCTTTGGGACATCCTGTATAAGTAAACTAAAGAATGTTATTAAAACTTTTAAAACATTTTAAAATCGTATTTTGACTTTTATATACCTTTTTTGGAAACTACCGTATGTGTGTGCGTGTGTTTGTGTGATTCGATACTTATCTTTTTTAATCTATTTAAAAATAAATATCAAAGAAAGACATATTTCATAACATCGATCAAAATATAGCCAAACATAACATATGAAACAGAAAGGGAAATACACTCGAATTTCCTGAAAAGCACTATCATTCAAAAAAATTGCTTCAGATAAAAGTTACTTGATTTCGAAGGAACTTCATAGGACAATTCAACTTCAGGACAATTTCGTTAAATTATTCTTTTTTCTATTTAAAATTTCCACAAACTTTTCAAATAGAACCATATGTTTTTTTAGTTAAGGAGAATGGATACTTTCGAACCACGATTTCTCAAGAACGAATACAGATATCAAAGATTTTTTTTTAATTGTTTGTTATTAATTTCTCTATGAACTAAACCTAAATTTTTCTAAGAAAATCTATTTTGTCATTGTTAAAAAAATCTGTTTTTTTGTCGCCATTTGATCAATAAATTTGTTTGTTTCTGCTTCAAAGATTCAACCAATAAAAGAATAATTTAAGAAAAGAATGCCGTTAGTCGCATCTCGAAATTTTATGTGTAGGCTGTTGAATGGCAAAATAATTTATCATCAGAAAATGATTATTTTATTAATTGAGATAATTTATTTGTAATTATTTATAATAACTATTTAAACTGTTTTAATTTAATAATAATGTAATTTTAACATTTGAAATTTTTCTTTCTTTTTCTTACTCTTCTTTTTTAATTGCACTAGCAAATCGATAATTTAACTGAAATTAAAATATATATATAAAGAGAGCACTTAATTTTATAACCGAAATTATTTCTATTATGCATGCAATTTTAAACAAAAGTTTCACAACTTTAGGGAGGAAATATGATGCATGTAAGATTCTTTATAGCATGCCTTTTTTAATAGTATTTTAACATTATTTCTTTAAATAGAATTATATATTGTTTTGTACATAAATCAACTCTATTATTTTATGTATAAAATACGTATAAAAATATTAGAGTGGATGAACTCTCAAAAAAATGTTGCAAGCGATTTATCATACCTACCTTTTTGCAGGTTCAAAAATATCCACTCCCCTTAACTATTTGAGAAATATGTTTATATGTATCAATCATTCATTAAGAATATGTTTCTAAAATTGCATTAATACAGATGGTCAACAATTTGAACATCTTAAATAATTAATAAACAATAATTTTCTTCCTTGTAATGTAAAAATATAGTACCCTATACATATAACAGGAGGAGAGGAATATTTTGCATATTTTCTATTTATTATATATGATTATTTGGTAATATTATATATATACATATATATACATATATATAAGGTGTCCCACCAAAAGTGGCCACCCCCTTTTATGTTTTAAACTGAAAGAGATAGACATAACAAACATAAAATTAAATGGTTCAAACTGAACTCTATTGTGAGCATAGTGGTTGTTTCCAAAAACTATCTGTGTTAACGAACGGAGAGGTATGCATAATTTTCTTATAATAATGTGGATATTTCGATATTATTAAAATTGTAGCGCTGTTTAATACGAATACAACGATGTATGATATAATGTAAATATTGTACATATTATATGAGTTTTATCGACTTGAAATATCGCGGGCGACGTCTACTTTTTCACTTTCTGCCTTGCGTTATGGCCAACTTCTGACTCGTGCATTACAGATTGACTTGATTGATATATCATGTTATCATTTGATCATAATACTTAATCCGAAGTTGGCCATATCGCAGGGCCGAAAATGAAAAGATAGACGTCATCCACGATATTTTAAGTTGATAAAACTCGTATAACATGTAAAATATTTACATTATATCATACATCACTGTATTCGTGTCAAATAGCGCTACAATCTTCTTCGTGTCAAAAATTCACATTATTATAAAAAAAAATTATGCATACCTCTCCGTTCGTTAACACAGATAGTTTTTGGAAGCAACTACTTTGCTCACAATAAAATTTACTTTGAACCATTTAATTTGATATATTTATTATGGTCTATCTCTTTTTGTTTAAAAGATAAAAAGAGGTAGCCACTTTTGGTGGGACACCCTGTATATATATATATTACCAAATAATCTGATAATTTTATAAATTTTATAAATTATATATAAACTTTTTAATAATTGATACACTTAAATATCTTCGCGTGAAAATAGTTATACAAAAAATATAGTTAAAAAATTGTTTAATTTTGAGGGAACTTTCTATAATCAAAATAATTTTTTAAAATTATTCTTTTTACTATTTAAAATCTTATTTAAATCAATTCTCTTTATCATGTACACATTTCTCTTTATCATCTACACATAAAAAAATCAAAACAATTATATGAAAATATTGAAGTAAAATTCATTTAAAAAAATAATTATTTTACAAGATTTATACCACAATTATGTGTAGAATGATGAAAAGATCCACTTATTTCATTTAAAAGAATAAAGCTTGGAAAGGTCCACTTTGAAAAATATTGTGCTGCTACATACAGAATATTCCCCTCGAAATCTTTATATACCTGGAAAAGAATCGTGTTGATTATAGAAAATATATTCGAAACCAAATAATTCTTTTTTATCTAACATTTGTTTTATTAATAATGTTTTGAAAGATATTCAAAAGTATTGATAAAAATAACATGATTTTAAAATATTATATGTCATAATTATCATTTATATATTGTTACATTACTAGCTTAACGAAATGTATATATTTCTATATTATTTTGAAAAGATCTATAAAATCAGATAAAAAAGAGAAATTAGAAAACAATAGATAATATCATGTATTTCAAATATAATAAAAATAAAATTATCATTACCATAATATTCATAATCATCCGTTCAAACTCAATTTTCTGATTATAAAAAAATGTTAGTTGATAGTATATAATTTATAATAATTTTCTATTATAGTCAATATAAGAAAGTACCATATACCCAGCAAACACAAAGTAACAGTAACATAACATTAATGTTATAATTTCCCACTCAACAATGTAACTGTTACGTACAAGGCATGTTATATTGCAGTTACGTTGTTGAGTGGGAAATTATAATATTGATGTTATGTTACTGTTACTGTTACTTTGTGTTTGCTGGGTAGTATCAAATAATATCACAATAGAGTATCAGATCAATAATAAAAATATAACATTGCAAAAAGAAAAAATATATAACTTACCTTAATAATCACTTTGCTTTAACTTTGCTTTCTGAGCAAAAATAATCAAAGATCCTAAAATAGAAAAAATAATATTGCTTATTTTAATAATCATGTTAACTCAACTTCCTGAAGATTCTATTAAAAACTTTTATAGATCGTTATCTGTACACGGCTACCGATAGCTGTAGGTTCTGTAAATGTCGCATATTTATATATTTATATATTATATTTTCACATATCAAAAATATGCGCAACGATACTTATAAAACGTACGGATATCGGTAACCATATAGAATAGCGTCCTTAATTTACATAAGAATATATGTATATTAAGCATACTTTAATATGAATCTTTTTCTTGAAATTTTTCTTCTTTTTTCTTTTTTTCTTCTTTTTTAGCAACCGTTTCTTGTTCACACGATTTCACATATAATCAATGAAACGATTATTTAACGATTAACGTTTATAAACGTTTAACGATTATTTGATCGACATATTAGGTTATAATGTAAATTACTGACCCTGCGCAGAGATCCTAACAAACATATAATCAATAATTCCGATGGTAAATATATCGATTATCCCGATGGTAAATCGTGAATTTATGAAATCATCCTTGTAAATCTTCAATTACGAACTGCATTATCGACTTTATAAGTATAATGACATTACATGTGGATTACAGTCGATAAATTAGTGCCACCGAATAAAATAATTTCGGTGGCGCTGCAAAGAAATTATTAAACAAAGGACGTAATCATTCTCTTGATGATGTAATATATTTCGTGTCATCGTGTCATAAAAGCATATCGAAGTTCTCACTTTATAGATAAATTATACAAGATTTATATCACAAGTGCTATGTCAAAAGTGAATAGAGAAAAAAACAATAAGCCAGAAGATGTAAGTATATATTCATTCGCAAAAGCTCTTCCGGCACAAGCAGAAGCTGAAAAGACTTCGCTGATTTCTCCAGAAGTGGAAAAACATGATTTGCAACATAAATATATTTATTTAAATTTAAAAATAAACAAACAAACTTGTACAAATATTTCTTTTCTTAACAGAGAAAACTGCAGTTGTAAAGGAAAGACCAGCTCGTTGGAAAAGGGCAGGCAGAGGACGGTATCCATCTCGAGGTCGCGGATGGGGCAGGGGACGATCATCATCAATTATTAATATAAAAATGTAGTAAGATCGCATATTTCAATTCTATATCAATTATTTAACATAAATTAAAGAAGAATATTAATATTATTATTAATCTATTACAGAAGACAACTACAACGGATAATATTACATAGAGATAGAGACTGATTAGAAGATTAAAGATGGAGCAGCAGGCATTCTCTACCTCATCAGATATTTTATAATACATATAAGTATATATGTTAAGAAAACAATGCACATTAATATGTATTTAGAAAGAAACTGTAGTGCTATGAATATATAGCACTACAGATTCTCTCTAATTTGTCTTTCTTTCGCTATTTTATTTTTATTAATGAAATATTATTTTATCAATATATTGGATTGTTTTTTTTTCAGATAATTATTTAATAATAAAATAGTGCATATTGTAATTTTTTTAACATAGATACTTTTTTTCTTGATAATATGTGATTCATATATATCAATATATTTATAATAGATTATTTTATAGTATATTCGTAGCATATAAATTACTTTTTTTCTTACTAGTTTCTTTATAAGAAATATATAATATATAAATTTTGCTTTAGATATATAAAATTATAGTATATTCGTAGCATAGATTACTTTTTTTCTTACTAGTTTCTTTATAAAATATATATAATATATATTTTAGATATATATAATCTATAAAATTTGCTTTATTTTGCGTTCTTGATGTGGTCTCTCTTCAAGTGATTATAAAATTTCTTCATGTGATTATAAAATAAGACTTATTTTTTTAACAATATTATTTATCTTCATGTGATTATAAAATAAGGCTTTCATTTTTTCAACCATATTATTTATCTGTGATTATAAAATAAGATTTTGACTTTTGTTACAATTATATTATTTATATATTAAAATAATTAAATATAGAATAAAACTGAAATATACGATTTCACATACGATCACATTTTTATATTAATAATTTCCACTATATACCATTTGCGACTCCGAAATGTATATCATCCTCTGTGCATTTCTAACAGATTGATCTTCCTTTTACAATAAAAATCTCTATTTATTATTTATTTATAAATATATATTTTAATTATATATTTTAAATATATATTTCAATCATATTTATGTTGCAAATCTTATTTTTGCATTTCCGGTGAAGGAGTTAGCAAAACCTCTTCAGCTTGAGATTTAGTTATTTAATTGTCGCAATAGCAGCCACCGATTATTTCTACATTTCAATCAATATTGTATTTTTTCGCGCAAGATCTAAACTAAATTAAAATATATTACTATATGCTTGTGCTATGCTATAAATTATCTGACTAATCTGTCTTGTCTGAGAATTATATAAAGCTTGCAAAGAGCAACTAACAGGAAATTAAAAATATAATTATTTTCTATCGGTTCAATTTCTGATGCAATCTCAACATAGGGAATTCAGATATTGGATTGTTTAGAAAATATTACACGGCTCAAACCCGAAAGCTAAATCTAATATTCATGTAGACTACGAAAGTCTTAAATATCAAAGAACGTAAACTATTTTCAGTATTACATTTTCAGTACTGGTAATAAATAACAGGACGCAATTTTCAGAATTTGCTTCATGCAAACGGTAAAGAATGGCATTTCAGCAAGTTATTCTGTAATTTAATTTAACGCATATATTGTAATTATAATATATTTGGTTACGAGTCTTGTAATACATGCATTATAATTATAGCGCATACCTTGAAAGTAAAGAATAAGTCTGCGGAAGTAAATAATACTAGGTTTTTATAGCTATTTTTCTAGAATAATTTTTATATTGTATTATAAATGTTTTTTTTCTTTAGGAGTTCCGAAAAGAATTTACACTGGATCTAGAACAAGAGAATACAGTATTGAAAGCAGAAATAGCAGAGATGCAGAAGCAATTGACAGCGGCCATGGCAACAATAAAACAGCAGCAGCAGCCGTCTCATCTTCTGCAAACAGCACCGACTCCTTCTGCAAAAGCTCTTCCGGCACAAGCAGAAGCTGAAAAGATTTCGCTGATTTCTCCAGAAGTGTACGAAAGTCTTAAATATCAAAGAACGTAAACTATTTTCAGTATTACATTTTCAGTACTGGTAATAAATAACAGGACGCAATTTTCAGAATTTGCTTCCTGAAACGTACGAAAAATATCCCTAACATATCCCATAGAAATTCTTAGGATGTTCCACAGTATCTCCCTGGATTCTCTAGAGACTAGTATTCGGCTATCATTTACTTTTCCTCAGGACATCCAGAGGAGATCCGAGAATTAAAATAGGATATCCTCAGGATATCCTACATGTATGTCCTGGATGCTCTTTGGACGTCCTAAGGACATCCTTGTGCTGTCTGGGCTGTCAAGCACTGGCATGTCGCTGACAGTTTCCTAATCAGTCAACTTTAATAATCCACAATCATAAATTTATCTTCCTGCAATCATTTGAAACATTCCTCTTATTATTATTATATCAATACTAGACAAATTTTGATTTTGCTTAGAATTTATACTGCTGTTGTCACTCGGATGTGGTCCAACTCTTGAAACTCTGTTGCCGAGGATTATTGCCCCAGTGATACTCTATCCTTTCTCCTTGAATTTCATCGTAGTTGAGCATATGGTATGCCCTCGACTACACCCTCTCATCATTACCCTGTATTATTCCATTGTCAGTCGAGCACATTATACCCTTGGCTGACGCTTTCCTTTACCATACATCTTTTCTTTTGATTAGAATTTAGGGTTGTATGAAATAAAAGATCTAGTATTGATATTAATCAAAGACCTTTATCCACAGTTAACAATACATTCCCTCCATCAACTGAATCAATTCCATTGATAATTTTTCTTACTTTTTTTCCTCTATTATAATACTAACTCCCACTATATTACATGTAATATTATATATTAAGTTTTATTAATCTAAGATTCTTTTCTCAAATCGTTAGTAAGCCCTTTGCAAATGGTTAATCCTAAATACACGTGTGCTCGCCGGAAAAGACGGAAACATAGAGCCGGTATTAAGGTGCAAATCCATGCAGCGGAATAGCGTAACGCGGAACGAGAGCGGAACCAATCACTAGAGTTTCACAGCTTTTTTCTGTTTTTAGTAGTTTCCAGCGGAATAGGTTTCACAGATTGTGTAATGTACATATATATCTATACATATACACATGGTAGTAAAAGCTAACTTCAAAATTCTCCTTTATCTCTCAAAAATGAGTAATAACTTGTAATAATTAGTAACCTTGAATTTCTTGGATACCATCATCATCAACCAAGACGGTCATCTCATCTTTGACTGGTATCATAAACCCACCTTCTCGGGTAGATACTTAAACTACTATTCTCACCATCCAATATGTCAAAAGAGAGGCACCATTATTGGTCTTGTCGATAGGGCCTTTTTACTATCACATCCCATCCCAGACAGCACTATGACATCCTCGGGAAATCCGAAGGACATCCAGGACGGACATTACGGGTATCCTGTGGATATCCAAATGTTCTCCCGGAATATACTCAGGATGTCCTGAGGAATAGCAAATGAGCACATCATGCTATACCTAGAAATATCCTCAGGCTATCCCATTTCAAAGTCCTACAGATGTCCATAAGATGTCCATAGGACATCGTAATTCCTAAAACGTTCACAATGCATTCAAAATTAGTCCAAAATATGTTATCAAGGTACTTTATATGATATTTTAAAGATAACCTATTGAATATAATTTCAAGCTTTATATAATTCTCATGACCAAATCTCAAATACGAGATGAACGCATCGCCCGCGCGTCGCATAGCGGTAAATAAACGAATTAGCGGCTGAATACTATTTTTTGTAGAGTTTTTGGAATGTTGCACACAGTAATATTTCTCATGAAATATTAAATAAATAATAATTTTGGATATATGAAAACGTGCGCATAAAATTCAATTATTAATATTAAACGAAATTAATGTTAACAATTAATTGCCAGATAACACATGTATGTCCTCTGGAAATCCAAAGAACATTCAATATAATAGACAGGAAGATATCCTATAGACATCCAGGGGTTATCCAATGGACATTTATAGGACATTAATACTTATTATAATACTTAAGAGTTCTAAATTATATTAAATAGCCTACATAACTGAAAGTAATCATGTATGCGTATTAAATTTTCATAAACTATATTTATAATGATATCTTAAAACGTCCTACAAATGTCCTGAACC